TCACCGTGGTCAGAGAAAAGACTATATTATAAATGGGTCTTGTCTCAGCCGGGAATCGAACCCGCTACCCATAGTGCGCTAGGCTGGCACCTTACCATTTAGGCCACGATGTCGGTAGACGGATATTAGTTAAGTTAAAAAAATAAAGAAAAATATCAGTGCTCTGCAGTGGTCTGGGTGCGACCCGAAAGGTCCACACGACCAACTTCCCAGTGGAAAGAGTAAAAAAAAAATTACGCGTTGGAAGAATCCAAATATATTGCATAGATCTCTATTTTCATTGTTTATAACAGATTTAATTGTTATAAACAAAAAGAATGAGTTTCCATTTATGTCGTACGGTTGGCAACTTTTTTTTCGCAAAAGAAAAAATTACACGTTAGAAGAATCCAAATATATTGCATAGATCTCTATTATTATTGTTTATAACAGATTTAATTGTGATAAACAAAAAAAATGAGTTTCCATTCATGTCGTACGGTTGGTAACTTTTTTTTAGAAAAATAAAAAATTACGCGTTAAAAGAATTCCAATATATTGCATAGATCTCTATTTTCATTGTTTATAACAATTAAAAAATTTTTTATTCAAATATTATTATGATCGATAATCATTTGTTATTAACAATGTTCAGTCGTTATGTACACAATTTCTTATTATTAACAATAATCATTGACTATTTTATTATTCTCAACGCTATTTTCTCCATCCCAACACAAGTTTAAAATTCCTTTATTGCTGATTTCGTTTTTTAAAAATTTTTTTTCTATGAAATACTGTCATCATATTTCTGTACAATTATTCTAAACATTTGATATTCATATTTTTCAAAAGATCTTGAAATTCCGTCTGAAAAATGGTATAATTGATAAATTGCAGAATTTAGGTAGTTCACTATTTTTTCAGTTTTTTGATTCTGCATGAAAAATGACTGAACCGATTTTGCTGAAAATCTAATCATTTTCAAGTTACGTTATTACGCGTCGAATGCAGTCGGTCCCACGTCGATATCATTTTTTGTTCTCGAGATAATCGAGGCGAAAAATAATTCCGAACGCACGTACGAACATACGAACTGCATTCGACGCGTAATTACGTAACTTAGAACTGATTAAATTTCCAGCAAAATCGATCCAGCTATTTTTTATGCAGAATCAAAAAACTGAAAAAATAGTGAACTACCTAAATTCTGCAATTTATAAATTATACCATTTTTTAGACGGAATTTCGAGATCTTTTGAAAAATATGAATATCAAATGTTTAGAATAATTGTACAGAAATATGATGACAGTATTTCATAGAAAAAAAATTTTTAAAAAACGAAATCAGCAATAAAGAAATTTTAAACTTGTGTCGGGATGGAGAAAATAGCGTTGAGTATAATTAAATAGTGAATGATTATTGTTAATAATAAGAAATTGTGTTCATAACGATTGAACATTGTTAATAACAAATGATTATCGATCATAATAATATTTGGATAAAAAATTTGTTAATTGTTATAAACAATAAAAATAGAGATCTATGCAATATATTTGAATTCTTGTAACGCGTAATTTTTTATTTTTCTAAAAAAAAGTTACCAACCGTACGACATGAATGGAAACTCATTTTTTTTGTTTATAACAATCAAATCTGTTATAAACAATGAAAATAGAGATCTATGCAATATATTTGGATTCTTCTAACGTGTAATTTTTTCTTTTGCTAAAAAAAAGTTTCCAACCGTACGACATGAATGGAAACTCATTTTTTTTGTTTATAACAATTAAATCTGTTATAAACAATAAAAATAGAGATCTATGCAATATATTTGAATTCTTCTAACGCATAATTTTTTCTTTTGCTAAAAAAAAGTTAATAATAAATAAATTCGAAAGCCTATTCTAGAATAAATCGACAGTTTTTACGTGGACGTCTGTGTGTGTGTATGTACGTATGTGCGTTTGTGCGTATGTGCGTATGTGCGTATGTGCGTATGTGCATATGTGCGTACGTACCTTCGGAATTATTTTTCGCCTCGATTATCTCGAGAACAGAAAATGATATCGATGTGGGACCAATTGCATCCGACGCGTAATTACGTAACTTAGAACTGAAAAATTTTTCAGGAAAATCGGTAAAGCCATTTTTTTGGCAGAATAAAAAAGCTGGAAAAAGGAAATCACTTGAATTTTGTAATTTATAAATTATACCATTCTTTAGACAAAATTTCAAGATCATTGCAGAAATATGAATATTAAATGATTGGAATACTTGTATGGATATATGATGACAATATTTTATCGAAAAAAAAAATTTAAAAAACAATATCAGCAATGAAAGAATTTTAAACTCGTGTCAGGATTGAGAAAACAGCATTAAAGACGCATAATAGTTCATAATAATTGAACATTGTTACTAACAAGTGATTATTGATCATAGTAATATTTAAATAATACGTTTTAAATTGTTATAAACAATAAAAATAGGGACCCTTTCTATATATATGAGTACTTTTAACGCATAATTTTTCCGTTTGCTAAAAAAATGTTACCAACCGTATGCCATAAATGAAAACATACTTTTTTCGTGTATAACAATGAAATTCGTTGTAAATAATGAAAAAAGGATCTATGAGGTACATTCGAATTCTTCTAACGCACAATTTTTTCTTTTACTGAAATAAAGTTACTAACCATATTAAATGAATAAAAACAGCCTCATTTCGTTTATAACGATTCCATTTGTTATAAAAAATGGAAACGGGTTCTATTCAAATTGTTTTTTTATTTTTTCCACTGGGAAGTTGGTCGTGTGGACCTTTCGGGTCGCACCCAGACCACTGCAGAGCACTGATATTTTTTGTAAATGAATAATACATGATTACTTACTTTGAGAATGCATTTTTATAATTTTATTTATTTTTTTTCAGAATTTCTGGAAATGTTGAAGGAGGAGTTGGAAAAGAGTGAGGAAGAGAGCTCCCTGTTAGACACGATGACCAGGAGAGTTCTGCAATCAGAACTCCCTGGTCCTACGGACGTCGAGATGGCATCTCCGGAGCCCCCTCCCAACAAAGTACCCCCTGAAGCCAAAATAAAAAGTAAGTGCAACTTGTGATTTTTTTATTTGTAATTTTTTTAAATATCGATTAATTTTTTTTCTACTTTCTATTGATTTAAAAATTTTTTTATGTGTTGATTTATTTAAAGATTTATCTGTTAATTGATTTATTTATTTGTTAATTTATATATTTGTATTTCTACTTGTTCATGTATATATTTATTCTTTTATTTATTATTTCTTTTTTTTCAATTATTCATTTATCAATTTTTTCATTGCATATTTATTTTTTTTTTGTTTATAAATTGATTAATTTATTTATTGATTTATTTATGAATTTATTTTTTTCATTGATTGATTTATTTTATTGTATATCGGTTTGTTTTTTATATATATATTACTTTATTCATTGTTCATTTGTTGATTATTTATTTATTAATTTTTCTTCTTATGATCGATCGATTTTATTATTTATTTATCTTCTTATTTATTCATTTTTTATTTATTGATTTATTTTATTGTTTATTTATTCGTTTTTTCTATATTTATTAATTTATTTATTCGTTTTTTATATATTTATTAGTTTATTTATTGTTTATATATTGACTTTTTTATTCATTTATTGTTTATTCGTTAATTTTTTCATTTATTTGTTTCTTATATATTCATTTATTTCGTAATTTTTATTTATTTTCTATTTTTTTTCCTTTTTCTTGTTTATTTATTCTTTACTTTATTATTATTATTCTTTTTATTATTATTATTATTATCATCTACAGGTAGAGGGAAGAATAGGGGTGCTCGCCACACCCCAAAAGAGAAAAGACAGGCTGAGGGGGAAAATTATGTTGGTGGACGATCAGTCGTGAGGAGAAGGATTGGAGGCAGGGGCAGTGGAAAAGATAGAGGACGAGGAGGAAATAAAGTTGGAGGACAAGGAAGAGGTGGTGGTCAAGGAAGAGGAGGTGGTCGCGGACGAGGAGGAGGTCGAGGATGGGGAGACCCCAGAGGGCATAGAGGCCGTGGTGGGGGTCTTACCCTCTATCAGCATTTTTATGCTTAAATTCAAAATAAAAATAATAATAATTATAATTATAATGAAAATATTACTTATAGTATCGCGTTAGTCGATTCACTCTCTAATAACGATACTGTCATCTTTTTCCTTGTTCTTTTCACAACCCGCTTCACTACTGGAATAACCGTTTCCCTCTAAGGTAAGGAAATGAACTTCAGCGATTAGGAACACGAACACGGGGCTGCCAGCCATGACCGAGATCCTGGCCGCCCCTGGTACGCAGGACCAATGGCACGAGACGACTCTCAACAACACGAGCTCCATCCAGAGGTCATACATTCCGGTGAAGGATTTCGCCTCCTCTCTCCCGGAGTTCTACGGAGATGGTCGTCCACCTACATACGAGGAGTTTGACAAAGCGCTTACCCGACAAGTTTATATGGTTCCCAGTCAAAACCAAGAAAGTTACGTTGCCCATGTTCTTAACTGTATTCATGGGCCCGCGCACCGATATCTAGAAGATCAGAACTTGACCTCAGTCCAGCAAATATTGGACACGCTGCGAAAAGAGTATCGCCCCAGGGACCCAATCGGTTTCCTTATAAATAAGATCCATCGTCTGCGGCGAGGAAGGGAGGAGTTCGTTGAGGACTTCTACTATCAAATTAAGGACATCCTCACATTTTTTTAGTCAGTCATAGGCGACAGCCAAGATAATCGTGCTCTTTTTCGCCGACTCTTTAAGGATGCTGTTAAAGTTCTATTCTACAACCTTCCTGAAGCCCTCCGGATTTCCATTGATCAATGTGTGGACCTCCATGAGCTAACACTCGATGACCTTTATAAGCGTGTGCGCCGTGGGTCTTACGCGCAAAGCCTTTTCGCGGAGGACTAATATCCCCCTTGGCGCCTATTAAGCTATCTTAGGCGACTCGTTTCTGGCCAAGAGTCAAGCTACGCTCTCATACTGGTCCAATACTATGGTATTAAAGAACCGCGGCGTTCGGCCGATCCCCTTTAAAATCCTAGAGGTATGGGTGCAATGTGCCCACGCCACGTCACCCGGGCCCCGGGTGTTTTCCCGGAGCCCTCACCTTCCCCGAAGCTCTCGAGGACCTCTTAATGAGACTTTCCGAGGCTCGGAGGTTACCGAGAAACAATCTTACCAAAGCTAAGGAGAAATCGAAAGAGCGATCGAATCGAAACATTCGCGAAGATCATCTCGTGAAGGAAGATTTCGCCTATATCTACAAGGAACCCAGGAAAGGTAAGTTAGATGTACATTGTACCGGACCATTTGAGGTAGTAGGCTTCACCGAAAGTAGTACCGTGGTTCTGGAAACGGAGGCGGGTAAGCGCTTTGTCAAATACCCCGGGAAGGTGAAAAGAATGGTGCCACGCACTACCGCTGAGAGCCCGGGCTGCTCGGCCCCACCCAGCTAGCTCAGTAGTCTTGTAAACTGCATGCTGGCCTAGTGGCCAATGTTCGTTACTAACTCGGTATGCATGAATAGCCATTAATAGTATATTAGTATATTATAAGTGTGTTTCGTACGAATCCTACCACTCTCCTTCATCTTTCCCGTGCTCTCCCCTGTATACCCTCTGATGTCTGAGCAGGTCTTATGCATGCCGGCCTTCCCCCAAAGCAGGACGTTCTCTCTTTCATCTCTTTAAGCCTACCGACGAGACCGACGACTGCCTGCCAATTCCTTGTATCGCCTTCTGCCAATAATCTGTTTACCCCTCCCTCCTTTTGCCAGGAAATGTGGAAGGGTGTAGGAGTGACCGCCTCGTCTTGGCAACTGGATCCTAAACTGGGAAGGCCCGGTCCTTAAGTGGTATTGGAACCACTCCCCTCCACCTAGCCTCAAGAAGCACAACAAGAGGCAGAGCCGCCTCAACGCCAGGCCATAGTGTCGGAGCCACGCCGAAGGATAAGCCCCATCGTCTTCGACCTGAGTGGATCCTCGGACGCGGAATTCGGCTTGCAACGGAATGTCGCCCAGGCCGTAATCCGCCAACTACCTTCAGCACTTCCAAGGGGTCCTGACCCTGTTCCATCAATCGAGCCTAGCTGCTCGAGCCGCCATCTGTACTCAAGGACCGCTCCCTCGAAGGTTTAGCCCCACTGGCCCGTGCGATCCAGGAACGGATGCCGGCTCTTCAAGCCCTCCTCCAGCGAATCGGGCGGCACTTCTGGGCGAGGCCGGCGCCGGAGTTACTGAGGGTGAGCGAGTTCTCGAACTTTGTGGAGGAATGGAATCCGATCGGTGGCTCCCCTCCTGCTCCCGCTCCCTCTCGCTGTGAGCGATGTTGGCGCCACAACCAACGCCGAAGGCAACCGTGGAAAGAGCGCCGCCGTCATGGAGGATCATACTACTGAACCCCTTGACGCTCCACCCCCTCTCTTTTCCGTTCCGCCATATACATTAATTGATATACTGTAAACCGACACATACTGAATAAAATTTTATAACTTCTTATACTCTACTTGGTTGACGTTATTCATAAACTGTACCTTCACCCCGTTCACTAATCTTAATCATCCCTCCATCATAACGGATTTCCTGACTCCAGCCGATGGCTTGCTATCTCCCACCGGGCTGCGAGGTAAGTGTATTTCGGGGCCTAATCGACTGGTTTTGTTTCCTTTCCTCGTTCGTCGGAAAGGCAGGGACGGATGTCTGGCTTAATCCATCGCACCAAGACCCAGGAATACTGGAGGGATCCTCGGCTGTGGGCAGACCAACCCAATCCTCAATTTTCTTCTCTAATCGGGCGAGACATCCAGCTCACTCGAGTTGTATACGACTTCTTGGAACGCCATGGCCAGGGCCCGGATGACTTCCAGCCTATGCTGCCGGACATCTACCAGCTGGTGCGAGATCTAGACTCCGTCCGCCTCAACTACTATCAAAGGGAAATGGAAAGTCGCCAGCGTAGACGTAGACGCGCCTACGGACCACGATGGGATGAGAACTCCACGGGCAGAACTCACGCCAATTCACATCCTTTCGCCTTTACATATACATGGTTATAATGCAATATGACGCAAGAAACTCGGAAAATTAGTTAATGTTCTATATTTGTGTTTTTATTTTTCCTTTTTGTTTTTTTTTCTCCTTCCTCCCTCCCCCTCTCTTCCCAGACATACCCCACAGTAAGGCTAAGTGCTAAACCTGCTCAATAGCGCAAACAGCTTGTAACTAACCAAAGAAAAGTTATTCTAAGTTGTCACTAACCCCAAACAGCCAGCCGTATCAGCGAAGCATCACTAAGGCACCCTGCTGCTGATATAGACCAGCAAACAAAGGTCCACCGCGCCAACCAGGCAACCATCTCCAGATATCGCAGAGCACTGGCCGCCAGGACTCGTCGAAATCGCGCAAGGAGGACACGGAGACGTCTGCTAGAGGCCGCCATCATGCAGGGACTACGCGAGGTCCCGGCTCGAGGCATTCTAGACATCAGAGCAGTTCCTGCCGAAGCCGAGGTTAACACTGACACGCAACCTGTACCCACTCCTGCTTCTAATCCCCAGACAGCAGATCCCATTCAAGAGAATGAGGCCGAGGTTATTACTCAGGACCTCGCCACCTTGTCCCTGCAGCTCCCCTCACCTGCCTGGGCCACCGCTAACGCCAAGCGGGGGAATTAACCGTCGAGGTCATCAACGCTCTTTGGATACTGGCCGAGGAGTCCGGTCAAGGGTGCTTACACGGGGCATCTTGTGCTAACGTCGTCGTTGGGACAATCCAGTCCGTTCCTCCTAAATCTCCCCCCCCCCTCTTCCATTAATAACTTTGCCATCTGTTCCAGACATGCCACTATTATTGAGTCTGGTTCTACTTCTGCACTGTTCTGTCGCTCACCCTGGTGACTTATACCGGGTTACAATGTTTCAACACCAGTCTGGCCTGTACTATGAGGAATACCAGTCCGTCCAGCTAGTAAGCAAAACCTGGAGAATCCTCTCTACGCTGGACGTGGATGCTCTCATCAACGCGCACGGACAAGACGCCCAGGCATTCAACAATTACTCGAATACTTGTCGAGAGACCTGCGCGCCGCAGTTCTGCACCACGGCACTTCAAGAAAGCACAGTTCGGGCCGAATTAGACAAGGGTACCCGACTGAGCAATCAACTGCGCCAGGTCGTTGAGCGCACCCCTCCCCGGGGCGTCTCCAACGACCGAAACAAACGTTCACCCTGGATTGGATTCATTGGAACGGGACTCAGAAAGCTGTTCGGCACCCTGCATTACAATGATTACGAACACTTCTCTCATGAGATTGCCCGCCTTTACCAAGATCAGGCCTCTATCGTCCACCTAGTTAACAACGCCACGCATATCATACGAACGGAAGTCGACTCCCTCGTGAGCGACCTTGCCCAAACTAACAAAAGAATCGATGAAGTAGCTTCCTACGCCGTTGCGATCTCGAAACAACAAGACCACTTGAGACACATGGTCGAAAAGGAGCGCGATTACATGCTGCTGGGCCTCCACCTTTTCCGCACCCTACAGCAGCGCAACTCCCTGATGCGACAGGCCATCACAGCCATCGAAGAAGCTAAGAGAGGCATACTCAACTCTATCACCGTCCCAGCAGGACACCTGAGGGTGGCCTTAAACGACATGGAACGGAGGCGGCCACACTTGAACCCGCTGCAACCGCTTGACCACATCGACCTCCAAGTGCTCTCAAAAATCTTGCGTGTCACCGCTACCCAGGTGGGTAATATCTTCGCAACCGTCGTCGAGATACCTCTCCTGGAGAAACATCTGTGGAGGAGTTACCACCTGCACCCATATAAAATTCCGCAGTCGCGAAAGCCATCGGTCCTCACCATCTTGCCGGAAGAAGACTTTCTGGTATTGTCAGCCGATAACGCCCGCTATTTTCTCGCCTCTGGAGAAGAGCTGTCCAACTGCCTGCTCGCTGGCAACGGCCTGGCCTGCGCACCGTTACGAGGAGTCCAATCTTCGGAAAACCGGCCTATCTGCGAAACTGAAATCATTCGGGACCATTTCAACGAA